CATCCATCCATCATCATCCATCCATCCTCCATCCATCCTCCATCCATCATCCATCCATCATCCATCCATCAATCATCCATCCATCCTCCATCACCCATTAATCATCCATCCATTAATCATCCATCATCCATCCTAAATTATCCATTCATCATCGTCTATCAATCATGCATCCATCATCCATCCATCAATTATTCATCATCCATCAATAATCCATCATTCATTCATTCATTCTCCATTATCCATCGATCATCCATCCATCAATCATCCAGTTATCAATCATCCATCATCCATCCATCAATCATCCAGTTATCAATCATCCATCATCCATCCATCCATCCATGCCCTGAAGTGGCATCAGCATCAGAAAAACCCACATCAGTCCATCTCAAATTAAATCACACTGAACTGAACCAAAACTTCAGGTCAGTTTGTACCTCCACCAAACCGTACCTTTGCAGCTTTGGTCACTTCATACCTGTGTTTTTGGTTAATAAAAGAACTGGGTCTTCTCCTGCTTAGAAAGCGGTTTGAACACCCGGTGATTTATTCTACTGATGAACACAGTTGAATGGAAGTTCAGCAGATTTGAAAGTTTTTGTCGTCAACGTGATCATCAAAGGTTAGTTCAGAGCGTTTGGATACTTTGTCAGTTTTTGGACCAACATGCAGTGTTTCCCCTAGTTGCCTTGGCAGGGCGCTCATATCTTCTGCCTTTTTTTTTTTGGGGGGTGGGGGGTGGGGGGAGACGAAGACATGTCTGTGTTGCCTGTCAGTACCAACAGTTTTCGAGCGGGGGTAGACGGCTTCCCTCGCGTGAGGGAAACCAAGTGCTGTAGCTTTTTAGCTAGTGCGTCTGCATTGCGTGCTGCTAGCTTAGCGCTACGTCAGTGCCGGCAGTTGACAGGACAGGGCACCCTGCTTGTACAATGTTAAGAGAAACACAGATTATGTTATCAAATAATATTGTTCTTTTCACTCATTGTTAGAGTTGAGGATGTCTGCGATGTATAAAAAAAACAAAACATTTTTTACTGTAAAAAGGTTAAAAGAGTAACTGAAGCCCACGTTGCTCTGCTGCTTACAACATGCTGGTTAACTAACGTTTACAGATGCTTTAAATTAGAAGCTGGAGTCAGTTTGTAGGATGCAGTTAACCCTTTTTGTTGTGACGGATGTTGGAGCCATCGTGTGTGTAAATCTATCAAACCCAACAAACGAGGAAGCTGCCAGTTTGTTTTTCCAGTTATATTTGTGCAGCCGAAGGCAGAGAATCTCATTTATGTTTAGTTGCGTTTTATTTTCTTAAACAGATGTTCAAAACTTGTTTAAAAAGCCAAAACGTTCTTGAGGCGTGTTCTATACTTCACTAACCTCTGGGTGAACCGATGGGAGCTTCGCTGTGAGACTTCACCAGGCGGCTGTCGGCGTACGTGCTGCTCTGGGAGGCGAACGATGCGTCTGGGCTTATTGCATCCCCTTCCTCCACTCTGGTATCGTCATCTTCCTCATCTTCGTCCTCCTCCTCTGCCCCGTCCTCTTGTGTATCCTCCTCTTTATGACCCAAGTCTGCTGTGTCATCTTGCCTCTGCCTCTCCTGCTGTTTGCTGTGGTTCTCAATCACCTGTTTAATTCACAGAAAATCAAAGTGACGTTTTGGCTTCGTACAAAACAGCAGGGAGAAGTAAAACTCCAGAAGAAACTTCACCAACATCTGAAAGACTTTGCAGCACAGTGCTACTTCACTTGAACTTTAACACATCCTTCAGCAGTATTTTTAGTATTTAATATTCATCTAAATCGATGCGAACCCTCTACAGACGTTTTATGAGAATTAAACAATCTTTGCAAAAGAAAACTTTTATTATTGTTGTGGTTAAAGTGATCAGAACTGACAAAAACTCCTGAAAAGAAGATTTATAGCATGTCATTCCATCCAGCATTAACCTTATTTGCCGTCTCCATGACAACCTCAATATTAAGGTTCTGTGCAGCCATGGCCAGCAGCTCGTCGTCGTCGTCCCCGACATCCCAGGCGTCGCTCGTGATGCTCTCAAACTCCTGGAAGGTGGTGGCTTTCTTGGGTTTGCCCGGTGTGGCCGGAGGCTTGTTGCCTGCTTTCATTAGACTGAAGCACAGACGGAGACGAGTCGGGAGCGCAGGGAGGACGGGGATTGGAGGGGTTGGATAAAAAGGGAATAAAATGAGAAGCCAAAAAAAAATAATGAATAAAAACAACGACAATAAAAAGATTAGGTTGGTGTCTGAAGTAAATCGTGCCACTCTTGTTGACGTTGATTAGAAAATACAAAAAAAGTGAGCATCATCTTAGTAATTTGAGAATAATATAATTAGAGAATGTTTCTGAAGCGGCTTCTCTGAAGACTTGATTACAAGTAGAGCCCTTTGGGTTTAAAGGCTTTATAAGTTAAGAAAAAATAGAGTGACAAAATATCAGAAGAATGGATGATAAAGAAAACAAACTAATAAAATTCAAGGATAGACCAATGAATAGAATGAATAAAAACAAATTGAGAACAAACAACAGAAAGACTAAAAAACTGAAAATCACAATGAATGACCAATAAAATAAATAGAACAAACTAGAATAAAATGAACAGTGGAACAAAAAACAAGCGACAGAACAATGAAAGCAAATACACACAAAAAAAAAAAAAACTACAGAAGTCCCTCGCTACTTCGTGGTTTGACTTTCATGGTCTCGCTCTTTCACCATTTTCCAACGATTGTCAACTTTAATTTTACTCATGCGATTGTGTCGGTACGAGATAAAAAGTTTATGAAAAACATACTTCGGACAGGCACTGCCGTTTTGTAGTTTTCTTTTAATAAGCCTACATTGTAAGGCCAGTCAAAACAACTACACTACCCAGAATTCAACAGTGCTTCCAAACGCTGCTTTCTGCCAAAATAGAGGGAAAGTTTTGATCTGAACCAAACCGGACTAAAAAGTTGGGTCCTTATTCATAGTGACTTCAGCTCTCAGAGGACGCACAGAGCCAGACCAAGACTTGTGAGTCCTCGTAACATTTTGCAGTACTGTACAGTACATTTATGTATATTGTTGAAATTGTGTAGGTTTAAGAGTTTAGAACATCGCAAGTGGGCGATGAAAACTAAAATAAATATAGTGTTCCTACTTCATGGCTTTTCATCTATCGCAGGGGGTGTGGATGCAACACCTGTGATAGTCGAGGGACGAGTGTAGAACAAACGACAGAATCCTATGAAGAATTTTTTTTTTTTTTTAAATACTATTTATTTATTTATTTATTAACCTTTACTGACAAGGTAAACCCCACTGAGATCACATCTTTTTCAAGGGAGGCCTGGACCTGACGGCAGTCTAAACACGAATGTTTTGGACTGTAGGAGGAAACCCACGCAAACACAATAAGAACTTTTAAACTCCACACAGAACGGGTCCAAACTGGGGGTTGAACCCAGGACCTTGTTGCTGTGAGGCACCAGTGCGACCCACTTCATGCTGTTTTTAGTTTCCCTTTGACAAACATCACAGTTCCATCAGTTTTCATGGAGATATTTCTGTCCTAATAAAGGAATTTATAGTTACAGTTTTAACTCGTGTTCAGACTCTTCTACTGTCGTTAATCCTCGTTTTATAAAACTGAACCTGCAGTTTTTACAGTGCTGCAGATTTTGGGGGGATCCATTCACTGTTGTTGAACTCTTAACTTTCATATCCTCAAAAAACTGCATGACTTCTACAATGTGCAGGTTTAGTGGAATCACTTCTTGTCGTTGCGCAACACAAGTCTCTACCCACACGATCAAACTTTTATTTACTTTAAATGTTTGTTTCCTCCAATAATTTCCAGAATAAAATTGAACTAAAAAGCTGGAGCTGAATCCAGAGAAACATCTGGTTCATACGATTTCTTCTGGTTGATTTTTTTTTTTGTGTGTCAGCTAAACGTTGCAGCAGCTCTTTAGATGCAACTCCAAGTTGTCTTTTATTTTGACTGTTAGAATATTTACTATTATACATAAATATTTTACAGTTTGCCTGTTGTGCATGACCTAATTGCTAAAATTCTGAGACAAAAATTAAACAAACTGCATTTGAAACAATTAGTTTGATTTTTATGGTCTACAAATTAAAAGCAAAGCAGAAACAATCAATGATAATTGAATTTGTCTGAGCTAAACTATTCATTTATTTGCGCCTAACATAAAAACACAAACTATAAGCACATCCTCCGAGGGACAGTCAGAAACACCGAGTACCGCAAGGTTCAACTGAACTAAATTACTTTTTGTGCGAAAAAGGGCACAATTATTGGAAAAAGACAGGATTGATTAAAAAGGTAATTCAAATAAATTCAATGTTTTAAAAAGGGAACAGAGAAGTGAAAAATCTTTTTTCACTAAAAAAGATCATAACAATGAGACACAGCCTTATTAGCTTACTGTCATCTCAATTTGGGAAAAAAAAAATATATATATATATATATATATATATATATATATATATATATTTTTATATATAAAGCTTTTATTCATTCATTCAACCTTTATTTAGACAGGTAAATCCCATTGAGCCTCGAGGACTCATTTACAAGAGAGACCTGATTTCAACAAAGAAAGATGATGATTTATAGTTATTGCTTTCCACCAAGGGCCAAATCATTTTGCTCACCTCTGTGTGTTTTGTTGTCTATTAGAAAGAGTTTCATGAACAGTGGAATGACTTTAACTCATAACATTTGCTTTCCATTGAACATACAAAAAAACTCATTACTGGCTGCTGACCAGCGTTTAACAAACATGTTAACTTTTCATTAGGGATGCACAATTTTGAATTTTTGGCTGATATCCAATATGTTAAAACTTATTTGGCTGATAACCGATACCAGTACCGATATTTTTCCCTAGACCTACTTACATAGAATACATGGTTTTCTCTGCTGTGGAATTAAAATACTACATTATTCTGCATGTTCTTTGTCAATTTGTTCTGCTACCAAATGCAGATGCCAAAAAGGGAGCTGGAAATTATGCAACACTATATAAATATATAAATTGTTTTTAAAACCAGTGCCTTTTATATGGTTGAGTTATTTTAATGGAAAGGCCGATGTCCAATATTTAACTTTATTGCTAATATCGGCCAATACCGATACCATGCCTTACCTTTGGAATCCACATGATTCAACATGGCTCCAAAAACTAATTAACGTTAGTAAACGAAACAGCTAAAACTCGGTCAATTTCACAGATGATTAGCTACAATTTGGTATGGTATTAAGTGAAAATCATCCTCAATAGATATTTCAAATGCTAAAACTTTATGAAAGACTTTGCAATTCAGCATGAGATCATATGGAACAATGTTCACAACATTGGACCAAAAAGGCTCAAACGCTCATTTCTCATTATAAAATTAATTGAAGTTAAAACTCTACATCAACATAAAATGCAGCGTTTTAACATTTTGAGCTAGATATAAATTTGGGCATTTTAAAATGTACTTGGATATTTTCTTTGCATCCTTCAAACCGGATATTCTGGTAGTCAGTTCCTTTGATCCTATAGAACAAGGAGGGCCACTCAGCATAAACAAAAGATGGCAAGAATTAAACTGCCAGACAAGAAAGGTGACGTTTCAATCAAACTCTCTGCAAGCCCGTCCACACCCCAGCCCAAGATGTTACAGTGTTTGTTCTGAGACACTGTTGAGCAGTAAAACAAGGCCATCCACATTCCTGACTGGGACACTGCACCAATTATAGTAACTCTTTCAGACATGAGATGTGTAACAATTAAAGTTTCATCAAACTGTTAAACATTCAGCTGCTTTGACGAGGATCAATCTTGTTGTGGTGTACTTATAAGTAATAGATTTAAAAAACAAACAAGTGGCAGATGTTTAATCTTAAGCTTAAACACTTATTTGTTTCTGACACTAGAAAAATGACAAGCTGATAATGATAAGTAAAAAAAACTAAGAAGAAAAGGTCAGGAAGTAGCATAATGTATAAATTACCAAGGTATGTCAAAATCTTTAACGGCTGAACTAACAAATCAGCCACCTGAGGCTTTGCATGCATAAAATGTAACGGGAAACTACAAAGAGAACGATTTTAGCAGGTTTTATTTATTTCATGGAAACCTTTGTGTGACATAATATGGTTAAAGACTTTGCGTAATCTTTAAGATAAATGTTCATCAACTAAATACATCTCAGGGTAGTCATGATGCTTCAATTACGAGAAAGTAGTCAGAATGGAAAACCATAACAGGAGCATTTTTATGCATGAATATTTAAATTGTGACCTAACTTATAAAATCCCAGGACCTTAGAGGTTATTGTATGTTCCGGGTCATCCAGGTAAATCATTTCTGTACAATTTATCATGGGAATAGTCCCTGAAGCAAAAACAAATCTAGTTGCCTTTTATTCCAGCACACAAGAGTTCAGATGATTCATACATATCACAAACTGGACAAATAAGTTTCCGACAGCCAGTTTAAATCTGGGATTAATCGCAAATATGATTCAGCCAAAGTGTGTAAAGCCCAGTTGCTCAGCTGTCGCACTCCAACCACATTACACGTCATGTCTAAAGAAATGCATTTAACTTACTTTGAATGAAGCAGGGGGTCAAAGGGTGGATGCTGTGCACCGTAAACATGCTGAATGCTGAGAAAGAGAGGAGAGCAGAAAAAGGAACTGAATGAACATCTGTGCTTTGCTTCCATTTTAGCCTAAACTTATTCAGAAAACCTCTTCCAAAATGCAAGGCTACAACTCATGCAGACAAAATGAATGCATCAGCTTTGATTATCGGTTTTCTTGCAGCATTGGTTTCAACTTTGACGGTAATGGGAGAAATGCTCAACAGCTAGCAACAGAAGTTAGCAGTGTAGCTCTTTACTAGCTTGCTGCAGCTAACTGTGTCGTCCGAACCTATTCACCACAAACAACACGGCGTTAGATTACTTGAAAAAATCTTGCAATCCGATAAAGCTTTGAAACATAATAGCTGTAACGTTTAAAGCTTGACAGCTCGGCGTCAAGTGACAGAAGCTAGCTAAGCTAAGATAGCCAACAGAAGGGAACACGTCACTTGCCTGCCAGGAACCTTCGCTGCGTTTCTTTTCCAGAACTGTTTTTTGTTCCCGTCGCTCGACATTTTGCCCCCCGAAGTCCAGTAAGTCCCAGCCTCGAACACCCCGGTGCTGTCGTCGTCTCCAAAGCGTTTAATTTCTCTTTATTTACACCTGGTCTGCTCCTTCAAAACTCAAAAAGCTGCCATGTTGATACTTCCTAATCGGCGAGTAAGTGCGCTTGTGATTGGCTGGAGCCGCACTCTCTCGCTGAGAGCCAATCACAAGTGAGCATTGCACGTCGGCAGTTTGAGAGGCTAGTGACGTCATGCCGCACGTATTTTATTTTTCCTGTTTACTGAAGACCACCAGCATCAGGACCACAAAAAGGAACTTTACCATCTAATGACTATTTCAGTGTGCTTTTTTATTTTTATTTTTATATATTTTCACTTGTCTACAGAAAGTTTATAAAATATACACTGATTCAAGTTTCAAAGGCTGTAGTTTGCATAGAATTTACATTAATGTGCATACATTTTAAACCAGAATTAATTTCTTAACTTTTTGTGCTTCCAAGAAACAACTTTGTATTTTAATATGTTAAAGCACTCTCAATCAGCAGTTCACAATACTTACTTTTTTCTTTAATCTAGTCTATTGAATCCTTGATCATGACAGCCAAAAGAAGTGTCCCAAATAGAAATGTGTCATCACAGTGGATAAACACAATCTAAAAGTCTTTATTTTAAGGAATGGGGGAAGGCGTATAATAAAAACTTGAAACAGGACCTGAATTGAGTGAAAAGCAGTTAAAGTCTGAAGAAAAACTTGGAAAGTCCTTCAGAAAACTTCAAGAACTTTTGATGCAGACCACCTTAAAAGACTGTAAGACAATCTAAGATCATGATCTGATGAGAAATGTGTTGTAGCTGTTTTGGTTAAACCTTAAACATAATGCTGTGTGAGTTATCAGAGTCAGAGATTCTTTATTGTCGTTCGCACCACATGTGGTACATGTGGTGGAGCAAAATTATGTACACAGGGTCCCAAGTTACATCCAACAATAAAATGTATAAGAAAAACAGTAATAACATCTAAGATATGAACTAAGAAAAACATCAACTAAATATACACTAAGCACTCATAACATAAAACATTGAACATCAGCGCAAACATGAACATGAGTCTGAGTGAGCAGATGAGCACACATGAACACAGCAACATGAAACAGATCAGCAGCAACATGAAACAGATCAGCAGCAACATGATGTGATTCTTCACAGTGATTATCCTGGTTAGAGATTCATGAGTCTAACAGCCTCAGGGTAGAAGCTGTTCCTCAGTCTAGTGGTTCTACACTTAATGCTCCTCAACCTCCTTCCTGAGGGGAGTGAGGCAAAAAGTGTGTGTGCTGGGTGAGTGGGGTCCTTCATGATGCAGGTGGCCCTCTTCCTACATCTGGAGGTGTAGATGTCTGTGATGGTGGGGAGACTGACTCCAACAGACTTCCGTGCAGCCTCCATGTCACATGGAGCACAGGATGCTCTCCACTGCACACCTGTAGAAGGAGGTGAGGACTGAGCTTCCCAGACCAGCTCGTCTCAGCCGCCTGAGGAAGTAGAGTCTCTGATGAGCTTTCTTGAGCAGGCTGGAAGTGTTGTTGCCCAGCTGAGGTTGAATGACTATCAGCTACCACATCAAATTGTAACTCATTATCTGTAAAACTGACTGAATTAGGGCCATCTTTGCGGGGGGTTTTTTTAAGCTAATTTGGCAGCCATCTTGAATTGGAATGATGCCAAATGTTCATGGGTTGTAAATATGCATCCAGTGAGTCATGAGTTATTTTGCTAACAAACAGACATACACACACACACGCAGGCACACAGTTACAAAAACATGGTCTACCTTCACCTTTCAAAAGGTATGTGATGACGACAACTGCGTCAAGACTTTTGCAAAGTGTCGACTGAATGCTCGATGACAGTTTTTTATGTTTTATCACTAACCAAACCTGATCCTTCTGAAATTTAGTCTTCTTTAATTTAATTTAAAGTCCTGTTGGAAAATATTGTACAGTTAAACACAAAGGTAGAACAAAACTAACACTAGCTGTGGTTTAGTAAAGACTTTCTCTCTTCAAACAAAGTGAAACAAATAAAAAGGAAAGAGGAAATGTTTTGTCTGCTTAACCTTTATCCACTTGAAGGATGGATGGATGGATGGATGGATGGATGGATGGATGGATGGATGGATGAGCCCTGATTTTTAAAAATGTGCAACTTTTTTTTTTTACTTCAGTCACAATTAACTAAACATGGTGAGTCATGTATTAGGAAGCCGATGCTGTTAGTTCCCTCTGGACTGGAGCAAAGACTGTAAAACAGACAAGAGCACTCACTCTGTTTTAAATTCCCTCTGCTGTGAACAACACGGGTTCTATTGAGTGATGGTTCCCAAACAGACCCAAAATTCAGTGGTTTATGATCGTGACAAACAGTGCTATTAGACTGATTAAACAAAACCAGAATGACATCAATCATTAGTCTGTTTGATTTTGTAAAATTGCACTTTATATCTTGTTATTACTGCAACAATCAACAACTTGTTTATTTAAGACTTTGTATCTCATTTTTGGATGTTACAATTGAATTTGATGAGTCAAGCTGAGGGTGGTAATAATAGATGGTGGGATTGTTGGTTGTAGAACTTGTTCTTGGTCAGAGCTGGTGATAAGGCCTAACTTTACATAACAATGATCCTGTATTGTTTTGTTCCTTACGATGAAAACTTTGTGAATAAATGCATTCCTAAAAACTTTTTCACATTTGAATTCTTCTCAGTTTATGGGTGAATACAACTGCTCTTAATGAACATCCCTTTAGTAAAATAATCAAACCACAGTTTTATTTCTGACTTCTTATTTTGACAGCAATAACATTATTTCTAGTCATTCCAATGTCTCATTTTTGTCTATTTAACATCTATTGTGGATTATTTCCTAAATAAAACTAGCATTTCTCGAAGCTAAGCATATCACTCATCGCCTTACGTGATAAAGTTTTAATCTCTGATGTAAGATTTAGCTGTCAGAGGACGACTCAGCTACTACTACACCAAATGTGAGACTGAGTTTCAGCCATTTATTTTATTTACATGTATTTGTAGCCACAGCATTAATCATCGATTCATACTCAGATGAATGCAACGTGCCGTGTAACTCTGGCTTATGACAGAATACAGAATGGGTTATGGTTTATGTTTGTCGTGAAGAACCCCAAATGTACTAAAACTAGCATTTCCAAATGAAATGAATATCATCTACACTTGTTTTGCATGACAAACCTTTAGACGTGATGTTATGTGGTCTGTAAGTAAATGGATGATGGGGGGCAGCTACTGCCACACCACAGTGTAGCTCAAAGTTTTAAAATGGTCATTTTGAACCAAGTTAGTTCCAAATGGTAATCTTCGAGACCTTTAATAAAATCTGTCCAGTGGTTCCCATGATCACCCACAATTCATGGCAGCAGGCTTTTAAAACTCGTGCTTTAAATGTGATATTTGTTTACATGGACAGAGGAAATTTTTACAAAGCACATTGTGAGTTTATCAAGTATTTTATGGAGTCCCTGACCTTATTAATTGAGCCCACAACTGTTTGAAGCACAAATAATAATAATAATAAACACCATAATATAATTAAAAAATGCAATGCTGCTTTACAAATAATTGAAAGGCTTTTTTTTAGTATGAGTGAATGCGTATTTTACACCTAATAAGTTTTAGTTCAACTTTTGCAGGCAGCATAAAAAGAGAAATAGGTCATTTATTTTCTCCACTTAACGGAGTGACCCGTTGTCTTTTAAATACACGATCTTTGTTTCAAACTCGCAGCCGCACGCTCTGACCTGCGAGGAGTCAAGTGAACGCAGCAGGGGTTCTGGGCCGTGAGATGTCAGGACAGAGACATTAATAATGACGGGACAGAGAGACAACATGGACAACCAGCCGTCCTTACTGTCCTCGAAGCTCCTACTGAACGACAGACAGGTAGAAGTTCTTCTGTCTCGCGCTTCTCTTACGTGGAAAGAAATTCGGAAGGGCAAAGAGGGACTTTATTCTATTTTTGGAACAGGTAAGTGGAGTAAAAACTAATTTTTACGCGTTTAAAAACATAAATTGTTCTTGTTGTATGGGAGCCTGTTTCTTGCCCGCACCTGATGACCTTCAGTTTTTGTTTCTGGTGGAAGAAGTCAGCGGGGCTCTCATCCTGCGCTTGTTCTCGGGTTCCTGCAGGTGTTGCAGCAGCAGCTGCTGCAGCAGCAGCAGCTCAGCTCATGTAGCTGCTGTGGTTAAGGTGTGCTCAGTGTCAGCTCGCAGGTGAGGTCTCAGGTAACCCAGGACCCTACATGCAGCCCCCAGGGCTGGCTGTCACAGTCTGAGTCCACAGTCTCACCTGTCTGAAGGTTCAATAAAGCTCAATGTTCCTCTCATTCCACAGAGGGCTGCTATGACTTTTGATTTTACTATTTTTATACAAACAAACAAAAAAATCCCATACAAAAACAGTTCCATTTTTTCATTCCCTTAAAACCCGTTCTGTTTTGACTGCTATTTAATTAGTAATCTTTCTGTTCCTTTTAGCCAGTCTTTAGCTACTTTTAGCTTGGAGCTAGTCTTATGTTTAGCTGCCATTCTACTTTTTGCTTCTACTTATGCTACTTTTACCTTGCAGCTAGCCTTTTGCACTACTTTTAGCTGCTATTCTACTACTTTTTGCTTTTAGCTAGCCTGATGCTGCTTTTAACTAGACTTTGGCTACTTTTAGCTTCTTACTAGCTTTTTGCTACACTTTTAGCTGCTGTTATGCTACTTTTTGCATGTACTTATATCACTTTTAGCTTGTAATTAAACTTTTGTCACTAACTGCCATTCTAGTATTTTTAGCTTCTAGCTAGCTATTTGCTCCTTTTAACAAGACTTTGGCTACTTTTAGCTTCTAGCTAGTTTTTTGCTATATGTTAAGCTGCCATTATGCTACTTTTTTGCTTGTACTTATGCTACTTGCTTGCCTTTTGCTACTCTTAGCTGTCGTTCTGCTACTTTTAGGTTCTAGTTAGCCATTTGCTACTCTTTTAGCTACTATTCTACTATGCTGGTGAAGATTCTGTTTTACTACTATTTATATATATACACACGCATAGACAGATAGAAAGAGAGAGAA